ATATAAAATATATATTATTAATGAAAAATAAAAAGTAATATTTATTATTATGTAATATTCTCGCTCCTCTAAAGTTTGTTATCTTATTTTAATTATATCTTGTATATATAGTAACTAGTACAATAAAAATTATTATAATAAATAATAAAAAATAATTTAAAAACTTCATTGATGTTTAAATAGTATTAGTTTTGTATGATTATTTTTTATGATTATTTCTTTAGACTTGATTATATTGGAAGGCTTGTCATAGATAAGCTTGTCTAGTTTGTCATCACACACATCAACATAATCGACGCATGCGTATTGCAATAAAATGTACAGACAAGGATAGATAGATGTTGAAGACAACGACAAGTCAGCTATGCCCCTTCCAATATATATGTTCTAAGAGAATATCCTTGTTTATAAAGAATATTCTATAAACCTGCCCAGAATATGTTAAAATCAGCAGTAAGAACATATTGTTTACATATTCCCACAGATGTCTATACTAGTACTAGATCGCTAACTTCGTCAAAAGAGCTGAGGCCGGCAGAATTTCCGGTTTCGGCCATGACACCCTACAACAAAATGGCGACAATGCGTGTGAATGTGTATATCTGTACGTGCGTATGCACATGTGATACCCATACATATAATACTCCTATATTGCTAACATAGCATCTTTTCCGTAAGTGGAACCATGGACATAGGAATATAGGGACGGAGCGTAAACTTGGTTGATAGACGAGGGGAATGAAGCCAAAATGCGGGGGGGTCCGCCATGATACTGTGTCTGAATCTGATTGGTTATCGTTATACGTATGCTGTTGTTATTACACACTAGGTAATGCATTTCGTCTAAGTCGAGTTATCAAACATGTTCTGTCAAAGAATTTTTCTTCAAAGTGGACAGAGCAAATACGAGCTGTACTTGGGATAGATGATGAACTTATTTCCAAAATATCTAATCACAATGTACGAGTTTTAAGATCTTTGGGAAAACTAAGAAAAAAAACAATATTTTTAACAACTTATACTCTTAAAATAAAATATATAATATTACTTTAAACATATAATATTAACTTTAATATGAATAAATAATTTCAATACCTGTGAAATGTTATTTTTACATTATTTCCGCTATTACTTTCAATTTTGATAGTCGGATCTATTTTTACAAGACTGTACAAAACACTGCACCATTTTTTATATTCACAAAATATATTTAAAATAACAATTTTAATTAATGTTTTTACTTGATATAACTTCAAATGCTCAATATATCTGCCCAAATTGTATAATATTTTTGCGTCGAATAATGACCAACTGCACTTGCGTCAAATAGTAGCCAATCAAAAATGTGCACAGTTTACCTCGTCCCCTTCCTTTAGTGGTTTTCCCCTCGCGACGTTACACTCCGTCCCTATATTCCTATGTCCATGAGTGGAACGTGTCCC